TGTTCAGTAGGTTGCCTCTGGAGTGTTTGGTGCAAAATTAGCATCTACTCTCAGAAACTCCTGCTCTGGAAAATTATCTGAATATCTGTTGTTTTCCATGAAAATGAGAGTTCTAGTAAAAAAGACTGCAGCTTTTTGCTGTTGCCCTATTCCTTTCCCCTCTCTACCACTCTCTTTTCTGCAGCTATAGGGAGCTAGAAGGAGGCCTTCAGGATTTCAGTTCCTTTATCTAGCAGCTCAGGTTGCAAAAGATTTCTCACTTTTTGCATTCATACTTGGCATTCTGAACGCCCTGCTGCAATCTACAATTATTTTGGAGAGCTTTTTAATGCTAAGGGACTGTTTGCTTCTAGAGGGCTGTGTCACCTCAAAACAGCCTTTTGAAATGTTCCTTTTCAGGGACTGAACTTTGCAGGTGTGTTCAGCAATGGGATAGTAAAATCTGTTCCAACAGACACCATGGAATACCAGGCTGTCAAGGCAAGGAAAATGCTCCATCTCTCTGGGTGAATATTAATCATGAGAGAGGACATGCATTGTCCGATAGTAGCACACGAATTGTGCCTTCAGCCCACTCTGAATCATTGGCATGAAGACACAAACAACCTTTTATGCCATTTAAAGGAAACATATGAAGACAGCTTGTCAGCTGGGCGAACACGATTTAAGTTWGTGGAACAGCTCCAGTTTATACCAACTGGGGAATGTGACCCATAAGCTGATGTACATGATGTTGTACTTGATGTTCASCCCACATGATCCAACAGTATGCAATTGCTTTGGCCAGTTTCCTCCTTTTCTCTGTGTTTTAGGGAACGCAGCTGCTCTGCAGATCTCTTCTACATATCTGAATTTGACATTGGAAAAAAAAACCCACAATCTTCTGCTCCAATGGAATCTCTAAGYAGCCTAATACAATTATACTGCTACAGCGAATGTTATTCTGCACAAGAAACAACTTATTTACAACAATGGGTCCTTCCTTAGTATTGGAGAGAACCACCAACCTCCTGGAAGAAGAACCTCAGGTAGTTCCTTGCAGTGCCAGCATAAGCAGGAGGCAGTGAAGGAGATGGGTCCCCCTCTTTGGCACTGGCACATGCACAGAAGTGCCATGAGCACGATGCTCCCACCGAGCAGGTCATCCCTTCATCTTCTTTAATCTGACAGTCTAAATATCATCACGGATGCTTGTTCTAGGTACTCGCCTAACTTTAACTTTCCTCCTTCATCCAGTCCATCTTGCCTTCTAGAGAAAAATCTTAGGCCGTGTGAAGGGAGCCACTTGCTGTGGTGTTTTGATCAAACACTGAAAAGGAGCGTGACCTTTATTTTCAGAGAATGTGCAGGAAATGGAAATAGATTTGTTAATGAGACAACACGCTGCCGGAAGCGTGCTTGTGGTATGCAGCGTGCTGGAGCTTAATTTCATGCAGAGCTGCCTGCACCYAAGCTCCCGGGCACGGTGCACATGGTGTGTAGCAGAGCTATGAGGGCAGCCTCCAGGAAAGGTTGCATTAAGCTAAGACCTTCTCTTAAAACTTATCCATATTCTGCTGGTTTCTCTTGGTGTTTTGCATGCCAGTTGTCTGCTTCAGAGCTGCAAAACTGCACTGACTAAATAACTCATTTTCCTGTGGGTTTCTGCATACTCCCCACAGCTGTTGTAACTGAGTCACCACCATCCTATCTGAGCGTTTCACTTTTACATCTCTGAGAAAAAAGGGAACTATCTGCTAATTGGATCTGATTCACAGAAGGGAAAGGCCAAACTGGTGAGTTCTATGAGGTCTGGCCAGGCATGTGTTGTTTTCCAGAGTATTCACTGCTTTATATGTTCAGAGTAAACCACTTGCTGATATGCTTTTCAGTTGAGAGTGCACCTGCCAATCTCGCTCCACATATTCTGAGTTCACCATCTAGAAAAGAAGCAGCATGGCATGGGAGAGAGTGTTCATTCTGTCTTTAATTTAATCTAGAAGTTTAAGGTAGAGGCCTAGCATACAGAGAGGCTCAACAGGTCTCCTTAGAAAAAGCTTTGATCTAAATAACTTGCCCAGTGACATGCAGGAATTGTGTGGCAAAGAGCGAGTTAGATTCCAGCTCTTTAAGTTGGCACCCATTCCACTCCTCCATCATGCTCCATTCTTCATATCATCCTCTCCAGCTTCCACAGCAAAGGAGGGAGACATCCTCAGCCACAGGCTGCTCCGCTTAATCCACTGCCATGTTCACCCTGAACAAAGCCAAGATCATATGGAAAAATCAGCCCTCGTATCGTTAGACCACATTGCATCATGCACACACAAGGGAGGCAACTTAACGCTGCACTACTACTGCTTTTGAATATTTATGATCACAAATTTTATTCTGAGAAGTAAATAGAACTGAAGAACGTTGCAGGTAAACTTGGTGTAAATACTAGGAATACACACAGGGTACCAATTTAGGGCTAAATTCTAAGCTCTCAGGTGGAGACTATAGCATAGATGGATGCCTACATACATCTCATGGGGGGATGATGTGAAGTACCTTTCTTGCAATRGAGATGATATGTTATAATATTAAATGCATATATTATAATTTATAATGCTAATTCATAGCATTCTATGCAATGATTTGCATTCATGATGAGCCTTATGTGCAGGATTTACCACAGCTATCAACTCAATTAGCCTGCTCTGAGGAAGGATGGGAGCAAGAAATGGGACTCTAGTTCCAAATCAAGTGGTTTGTTCTCATGAAATCTTATTCAGAAGGCAAACAGAAAAGGAAAATTGTGAACTGAACACTTCATCATCAATATCCAGAGCTCTTACTCCAGTTTTCCTTTGCATTCAACATGTATTCCCCAGTGCAAGTCACTTAAAACTACCCTCCTTCTAGCAGTGCTTTTGAGATCCAGATGCCTGTAGAACTGGCTACTGGTTATTTTTCAATAGGCAAATAGGTTGCATTACRAATATATTTATTCTTCTTCAGAAATCTCCTTGAAGRCAATTTYATACATGCAGTAGCTCCTGTGCACYGTGGCTTTCAGATAGATGGGAATATCCTTAAGTATTTATCTTGGCAATTAAGGCAAAAGAAAGAAAAAGAGCACCACTTCTGCTGTAGGCATTACAGATAAAATGGAGATACATGCAAATACCTGGCAAAGTTACACTGTTTAAAGTGCTTTACTGAATGGATGTCAAGATGCATATGAAAGGAGGACTCAAGCTCCATTTATTATCCTCCGTAAGAACAAGGTGTCACCATGCATAGGGATTTTAGCTCCTAAGTGTGAAATATTAAGTGTCTTTCAAGCCAAGAGCTGCTGTGCAGAGCGGAGCTCTGTAGTCCCCACCATCTCCCTGCAGTCCCCACCATCTCCCTGCGATTTCCCCCTGCCTTGTGCTCTTTTCTTATGGAGATCTTTGTAGCTCCACAGCACAAGGGAAGGAAGATTTTCCTTTGTGCATCGCACTGCAAGCTGAGGAGTCACCTCCTAAAGTTCAGGTCATAGATGATGGTCAAAGGGCTCTTAAATTAAAAAAAAAATGTGTTTTTTTCTCTAAAAAGTTTGTAGCCTTCTGGAATAGGAAATCGTAGAGAATGTGGAAGACAATCCTTATATCTGTAAACTTTTTTGTGGCCGTCTCTCCAGTTCCCTATGCCCATTACAGCTTTGCTGCCGTGGATGCCCATCTTTGGAACCTTTCTTTTCAGAACTAGCGGCACTCTCACTTATTCATCCTATTTTCCTGTTAAATCCACTGGTTCATGGGGAAACGAGACGAAATATGAGGTCACAGCCTAGCCCCCTGTGCGTGATTCCTGCCCCGGATTTTGGCTTGGCCTGGGACAAAAGAAAGGCCGTTTGGAAATCCTGTTCCCTTTCCCTCGCCAAAGGAAGGGCGCAATTTTCTACTCGGATTGTGCAACAGGCCCAGCCGTGTTGTCACTTCTTGTTAATGCCATCGTTGCCCTCATCATGGTTTGGATGGTTCCAGTTCAGCGCAGGCCTGCCTAGAAGTGCTCGAACAGGGCACTGGGAGCGAGGAACCAGTGGAAAACTCCTTCCCAGGAGCAAGGAGCCTGCARAAACTTCCGTTTTGGAGAAGTCCCGTTGACCCTATCAGCCCACGGGTGCAGTTGTGCTGCTTTTTGGCAACGTCTGGGAGCAGCGGCGGGTGGTTTTCTCAGACAACCGGCTCTTCTGCACCCCTCCACGAGAGGAAATTAATACCGGGATTATCTTCTCTGCAGCTGACCCAGCTTTGCCTTGGGCTTGTTACGTGGTGCCGCTCCACGCGGGTTCCCACCAGCCACTTGCCTCCTCCGGAAWACATAAAAAGCAGCGCAAATGCAAGCGGCTGGGAGAAGGGAGGCATCCCAGGGGCCAAACCCGTCCGGAACGTGGCTCGTGGAAGCRCAAACCGGTGCGCGTGGCACAAAACGCCTGAAATATTGTAGCCCAACTGTTAAAATGCCAAAAACCGTATCCCAAAGAGCTTTCGGTTGGTGATTCAAAGTACAAACGGGTAAATTTGCCCGTTTCTCTCGTTCTTGGGGCGGCCGGGAGGGAGCTCGGCCCGCGGCTGCTCCGGCTCCGAGCCGCGGCCCCGGCGCTGCCGGCGGCAGCGAAACCCGGCGCGGAGCCGCGCGGACGGGAGGCCGCGGAAGGGCGGGGCGGCATCGCGGCAGCGGGCGGTTGGGCCGCCCCGCCCCGCCCAGCGTGACGGCGCGCGCGGCCGCCCGCAAGGCGCGGCGCGCGGATCGGCGGACGGGAAGGCGGCTGCCCGCAAAGCCCGGCGAGCGGCAGAAGGAGGAGGAGGACGGGCAGGAGGGCGGCGGGAGCCGCGTGGGCGCGGACGGGAGGGCGGCTGCCCGCAAAGCCCGGCGCGCGGATCGCGCGGATCCCGCCGTTGGCCCTAAGATGGCTGTTGTGCGCGGGGCGCCGCTGCTGTAGCGCCGCGAGGAGCCGCCCGCCCGCCCGCCCTCCCGGCGCTGCCGCCATGGAGTGTCCGCACCTCGGCTCCAGCGTCTGCATCGCCCCCGACTCGGCCAAGTTCCCGCAGGGCTCGCCCTCCTCGTGGTGCTGCAGCGGTGAGTGCGGCCTGCGCGGCGCCGGCCCGGCCGGGGGAGAGCGGCTCCCGGCCGCTCCTTTGTTC